TTGGTTTTAGCCAGGAAAATGTTTTTAAGCAAAAATTAATATGGAATTAATGCAATTAATAATATTGCCACAAGTATGACTAATTATATTGTTTTGATTACATGTTAAATGTTAATGTTTAATGATATAGATCTGGCCTTTGAAAATAAAGTAAAATTTGAGTTACTATCATTGAATTAATGCCAAATCTAAAAATACAAAAGAAGCTACATTTTCAAAAATTATGGTATTATTTTATTTTAGAAATAATTCATTCAATACATATTTAGTAAATTTCTACCTAATGACGGATACTGTTAGGGTCTGAAGACACAAAGATAAGTAAAGATCCATCTAGGTTCACAATTTAATGATCCTTATAAAATATAATTGTTTTCTAACAATTTAATTCCATTTATGTTTTTAAAAACCTATGTTTTTAAAAGCTTCCTCAAGTCTTTTACTGAAAGCAGTGGCTTTTCTCCTTTTCTAATCACTGAGAAACCATGACAAGGACTCAGAGGTTAAAGAAAGCTTTAGTTTTCCAGTACATGAGACATGTTTAGAATATAAATTGTCAATTCTGTCTGCTCCAACTATTTACTACTATTTGTTTATATGTCTATGGGCTAGATGTTCTTCAGACTGCATTTCCCAAACTTTTCCCTAAAACCCTTCTCAAAAAAAAAAAAAATGCAGTCTGAATTCTTGTGCTACTGCATTGATGGTTTTGATCTTGATTTTTACCTAGGAATGCAGAAAGAGAGCAGGTAACTGATGAATCCCTGGTAATAGTGTATTCCACATGAAATCTATCTTCTTTCCTCATTATATCACCTAAAATATTTTATAGTCCCACAGTCTTATAACAGACTGAGTTAACCATAGGCTTTTGTGAAATACAATGTATCAAGGTTTCTATGAAGTTATATTCCAAAATATTGAGATGCATATTGTTTGTTGCACTGATAGTGTCATTTCGCATATTTTTGTGCTGTGAATTAAAGTATAAATATCAGAGCCACAAAGGGAAAACCATGACTGAAATATATTAGGGCTAAGGATTATACAGTGGAGATGGACAAATTTTCTTTTAAGTGAAATACTGTGAAAACTCACTTTATGACAAAGAAAAGGAACACTGGATTTAAAAAATGTTCTATATACTTATAATAATGAGATATTTTTATATTGGCATGTAATTTATGGAGACAGTTGAGAAAACAGAAATCCATTCATTTTACATTTTAAAGTTTATCTTCTTTTAAAATTATGTGAGGTTAGTTATCATTATAGTAAATAAGTACATATCAATAAAAATTATACTCCATATTGAAAAACATTCTGGCAATGTGTTACTTGTTTATGCTATAATGTTCTTAAAACTAAATCTACAAACATAATGTAAAAGTCGCTTTAGAAGTTAGAAGCCCTAGCCCTTTCAAAAAGGGAGCTAAATACATTAATTTTTTTAGTATTTTAATATTTAACATTGAGTCACACATAACCATCCAATATGAAAAGTGAGGTCCTCCTGTCATCATCAGAAATCTACTTTCTTATACATTTTAGATTCTAAACTCAGACCAATTGAGTTTGTAGAGAAACTTAATTTAATTGCAGTATGTATTGAAAATGAGAGTTCTCCATTCTCCTTAATGATGATTTGTATTACCTCATTTTACCATTGCAAGGAAAACATATTTATGCCTATTTGGAAATCCTTGGCCCTTGGCTTTTTGTGTATTTGCAGTTTACAAATGTTAATCCCGGTGGATCCTAGGGACTGGTAAATGCTCATAGGCTAGGAAGGTGCTTTATAAGAAGTGAAAAAAACAGACATTCCCTTTCATTTATAAAGCAAATAATTTAAAAACTTTAAGCTAGAATCTAAACACCTTGGCATAGTAACTAAGGTTTTGAAAGGCAATTATACATAATACATGAATGTTTTTACACATATTTCGCTTTATATTTTTTCTACTTAATCTATATTAATAATATAAAACAAAAAGAAATCTGCTGGACAAATAAGGCTTAGCCTGAAGAAGCAATGATAAGAAAAAGTCCTGAACATAAGATTTTTTTCAAGACAGCAATTGAAGAATGGGCTTTTATATGAGCTAGGCTCTTGAGGAAACAGCTCAGAACACTGGGGCTCTATAATGTCAAAGAGAAGTTTACTTCAGACTTAAAGTCAGCATTTTCACATATGTTATTCTACTGATAATAGGATTAATGTCTTAATAACTTTGCAAAATGAAACTATTAACAAAATATTTTACAATTACCAGGCTCTTCATCTTCAATGCACAATAGATAACACATAAATATTTGTATAACATTTATATATGTTCTACATAAGTGTTAAACCCAGTTTCTATGTGGTAAAACTGAGAAGAGTCTTAACTTCAAAGACAACTGGCAAAAGACTATGGCTTTATTTTCCACATTTCTATTTAAGGAAATATTATTACATTAGGCAAAATTATTGATATGCTTTGGTTCTGTGTCCCCACCCAAATCTCATGTCTAATTGTAATTCCCATATGTTGAAGGAAGGGCCGGATGGGAGGTGATAGAATCACAGGGCTGAATTTCCCCCTTGCTGTTCTTGTGATGAAGTTCTCAGGAGATCTGGTTGTTTGAAAGTGTGTAGCACCTCCTCGATCATTCTCTTCCTCCTGCTCTGCCATGGTAAGATGTGCTTGCCTCACCTTCATTTTCTGCCATGATTGTAGGTTTCCTGAGGTTCCTAGTCATACTTCCTGTTAAGCCTGTAGAACTGTGAGTCAGTTAAACTGCTTTTTGTCATAAATTACCCGGTCTCAGGTAGTTCTTTATAGCAGTGTGAGAATGGACTAATACAATTATCTAATAAAGAGTATTGCAGATATATTGCTGTTCTTATATTATCCCTACAATAATTTCTAAGTTGTTTTTAAGAATTAGGGCATGAACTCGTCTTCTCTAATTCTTTTTATTATTCAAGAAAAAAAACTATGTCTTTTAAGGGACCCCAAAATTGTGAGTATTACATAGAGAATTAAGAATTTAACATCCTGCCAGGGGCTGAGTGTGGTGGCTCACGTCTGTAATCCCAGCACTTAGGGAGATTGAGGCAGGCAAATTCCTCATGCTCAGGAGTTTGAGACCAGCCTGGGCAACGTGGTAAAACCCCGTCTCAAAAACAAAAATTAAAAAAAAAAAATTAACTGGGCATGGTGGCGCATGCCTGATACCTGTAGTGCCAGCTATAGACTGAGGCAGGAGGTTGGTTTGAACCTAGGAGGTGGAGGTCACAGTGAACTGAGATTGTGCCACTGCACTCCAGCCTGGGTGAAAGAGAGAAACCCTGTTTCAAAAAAAAAAAAAAAATCCTGTCAGGGATGGTGGTTTATGCCTGTAATCCCAGCACTTTGGGAGGCCAAGGCAGGAGGATATCTTGAGCTTAGGAGTTCAAGACAAGCCTGAGCAACATAGTGACCTCATCTCTACAAAAAATTAAAAATTAGCTGGTGTGGTGGCATGTGTTTGTAGCCCCAGCTACTCAGGAGGCTGAGGTGGGAGGATCACTGGTGCCCAGGAGTTCAAGGCTGCAGTGAGCCATGATTGTGCCACTGCACTCCAGCCTGGGTGACAGAGCAAGACAATAAGAGGAAGAGGAAGAGGAAGAAGAGGAAGAGGAAGAAGAAGAAGAGGAGGAGGAGGAGGAAGAAGAAGAAGAATTGTGTAACTTTGGTTTACTGACTGAAAGTTTAACACATGTGTGGCATATAATGGACCGTCCTGATAAGCCTCAAACAGTATTAAAGAAATGATTCTCAGTAAATGATTTGTGCTTATCTTCTTTGTACTTTGTGATATGCAAGTTAGCTTCAGATTTTAGAAATCATTCTAACACAGAGTGTTTTTACTTTAAAATGAAGCCAAAGTTGGGAATCTGAATCTTAGCTTCAAGAAATACGTTTATCCTGGAGAAGCCTTAAAAAAAATCTTTAGACCAAATACTAATGAGAGGTATCTTCCTCTGTAATGGTCTTTTGGTCTTTCTGCTTCGTATCTAGATGCTGGTGTTAACTGGGAAAACACTTAAATTACATTCCATGGATCTGCAGAAAGTTCACTGTGTCACCTAAGATGGTACTTCTACAAGGCTTTGGAGCTTTGGGTAAGGGAGTGCCTCTAAAATTTGCTGGTTTATTGCAGAAAACTGAGTGTATCTTAGATTAAATGGGAAAGCAGCCTTATGGCCATTTTGTAAAGTTTATCCAACATTCCAGTCTAGGATTTTTCTGAACTACCTTTTTTATAGGTGGTAATCCTGCCTATGTTTCAATTTTTCCAATGTGGAAGTCATTATTGTGTTAAAGAATTTGAGGCCAGGTGTAGTGGCTCACGCCTGTAATCCCAGCACTTTGGGAGGCTGAGGCGGGTGGATCACGAGGTCAGGAGAGGGAGACCATCCTGGCTAACATGGTGAAACCCTGTCTCTACTAAAAAAAAAAATACAAAAAATTAGCTGGGCATGTTGGCGGGCGTCTGTAGTCCCAGCTACTCGGGAGGCTGAGGCAGGAGAATGGCATGAACCCAGGAGGCGGAGGTTGCAGTGAGCTGAGATAGTGCCACTGCACTCCGGCCTAGGTGACAGAGACTCTGTCTCAAAAAAAAAAAGAATTTGAAGCATCAAAAAATGCTTCCATATATTTTGTTGAGATCTATGATTCTACAACATTTAGCCTTTTGTTCTTTTTCTTCCCTTTGAAGAAACATAGGATATGCAGAACATATCTATTATTTCTTCCCTGCACTACTGCTTTAAATAGATGTATAGATACCATGTCATTCCTTAGTCTACTCAAGGTTAAACATCACCAGTTGACTGAAGCACTCCTCATGTTATGTTTTGTTGTTTTCACTATCTTGATAGTACTTTAGTGCTCTCAATATTTTTACCAATGTCTGTTATACTATATGACTCAAGCTATAAACAATATCCTACATTGGTGTAAGTCTAGAAGTGAACTATTAATAGATGATATGAAACCTTTATTCAATTGATGCAGACAAAAACCACATAATAGTTTTAAGCAGTCTTACCATTGCCTCATATTGAGATTGCTGCATAATAAATTACCCCAAAACTTAGCCTGGTGTCACGGTGCCTGTCTGTAGTCACGGCTATTTGAGAGGCTGAGGTGGGAGGAACACTTGAGCCCAGGAGTTCAAGGCTGTAGTCTGCTACTATCGTGCCTATGAATAACCACTGCACCCCAGCTTGGGCAACATAGTGAGATCTTATGTCTAAAAATAAAGAAAAAATAATTTAGAAAAGTAGTGGCTGAGAACAACAATAAACATTTACTATCTCACACAGTCTGTATAGCTCAGGAATTTGGGAACAGCTTGGCTGGGTGATTCTGGTTCAGTGTCTCTCATGAGATTGTGGTTGACATTTCAGCTGGGGCTACAATCCTCTGAAAGCTGTCTGAGGCTGAAGGTCTGCTTCTAAGATGGCTCACTCACATGGCTGTCAAGTTTTTTCTAGCTCAGTTTCTCACCAATGAACTTCTCCATAGGACTGCATGAGTATCTTCATGACATTATATGATGGCTGTCTTCTCCCAGAGTGATCTGAGAGAGAGAGAGAGAGAAAGAGATCCAAGCCACAATCTCTTTTATGTGCTAGCCTTTGAAATCACACATTGTCATTAACATAATACACTATTGGTGCACAGGTCAGCTCTATTCAGTATGGGAGAGGGCTACACAGTAGCGTGAGTACCAGAAAGCAAGGATTATTTGGAGGTCATCTTGTAGGCTGGCACTAGAGTCTAACCTCTATCTCCCAATGACTAACCTCCATCCCACATGCAAAGAATACTTACATATTCTCAAGACCATCAAAAATCTCGTTCCATTACAGCATCATCTCAAAGGCTACAATCTTGCTGTTCCAAACAGACCCAGATGTGAATAAGGCTTTTTGAGTGTGGTTCCTTGAGTATAGCTCCTTGAGTAAAATTCCTTGATCTGAAGATCTGTGAACTAAAGAGATAAAAAGTATGCTCTTCTTTACCCACATACACACCCAACATGTGCCATAAATAAAATAACCACTATAGACACTACTGTTCAAAGTGTGGAAAACAAAAGGCATATAAGAGTCACTGATCCATAGCAATTTTGAAATCTGGCTAGGCAAATATTGAACTAGTATTCATTCTTACTGCTTCCTGGGGATGATTCTCTATGACTCTTGGTTTAGACCTTTGAAATTTTGGCTCTATCTTCTGAACCAGCTTATTTTTCCATGAAAAAGGTAGCCTAGGTTTGCAGCTGTATATTTTTCCTAGTCTGGTTCCTGCCAGTAGAAATTTGGAGGTACAAAAGCGTCTTTTATTGTGTTCTCTTCAGTCCAACCTGTTGATGTTTCTAACAGGGAAATACTCTTAAAAACTTTGTAAGTCTCCTGTGAATCTTACTGGGGTTAATTTCATTATACAAAAGCCACACCTGCAAATCTGTTTGAAATAAGCTCTGCTCTACTTAGAGCCTGTGCTGAGGTTATTCTTAAGCTTCTTAGAACCTCTAGTGTGACTCAATGGTTCTCTGAGGTACAACCTTAGATCTTTCTAAGGCCTTAGCAAAGGATTTTATAACCACATCCTCAGCTTCATTTTTACACCATAGTTGTCTGACATCTGGCAGTGTCTGAGTTTGATCTTTGTCCAGAAGCCATTTCTTTATTTTAGCATTGTTTCCCATCTTGAGAAGCTAGCAATTTTCAAGGCCAGCAAGTTTCAGCTTCTTTTGGTTTGACAATCTGTCCTTTAGCTTATCTTCTTCTCTCTCACATTTTACTATAAACAACAAGAAGAAACCAAGTGGCACCTTCCAAACTCTGACTGGAAAGTTTTTTACCTAGATCATCCATTTTATTAGATACAATTTCCAGTTCCACAGTATTGCAGGTAACTGTATTGCTTAACTTTCTGCCACTGTATTAAAACTATCCCCTTTTCCTCCGGTTTCTGATAATGATTTCCTCAGCAGAAGCCTCCTCAAAGATGTCAGGCTTATTAATAATCGTCTATTGAAGACATCTTCAGCTGTCACTAACACTCTCTTCAACATCTTTCAGTTTCTGCCATTGCCTAATTCCAGTGCCTCTCCTATATATTTAAAATGTGTTAAAATGGCAGCAACTCACTTCCACATATATTAGTTGTCTATTCATGTGTAGGAAATAACCACAAAACTTGATGACTCAAAACAATAACCATTATCTCATTCCTGAATTTGATAGCTACTTAGCTAAATGGTTCAGGGTGTCTAATAAGGTTGGATTCAAGATATTGGCTGAAATTGCAGCATCTAAAAATTTGACCATGGCTGTAAATTCTGCTTCCAAGATGCTCCCTCACATGGCTGTTAAGTTCATGCTGGCTGTTGACAGGCAGCCTCAGTTGCTTACCACATGGACATCTTCTTAGGGCTGTCTGTGTGTCCTCATGACATGGCAGCTACCTCCTCCAGAGAGAGTGATCAAAAAGAAAGCAAGGCAAAAGTTGCTGTATATTTTACGTGCTATCCTTGAATGCCACACATCGTTATTTCCACAATATTCTATTAGCTACATAGGGAAACTTCATTCATTGGAGAGGGGGTGGGGCATGACATTGCAAGGGAATGTGAATTATAGGAGCCTGGAATCATTGAGGCCATTGTGGAGGCTGGCTACCATATTCACTGAAGTCCCTGATAATTTAATTTTGAGATGCTTCATTCCTTTTGGTATTAATTGATTTTTTGAAACCTAAACTGTACCCCAATCTATCATTAAGTTTTAGTTGTAGTTTCAGTTCTGTATTTCAACCTCTTCAGATTTTTTTGAATTTTACTTCTGTCATATCAATAATACTCTTGAGCTTTGAATTATTAAGCATGCTAAGTTATAAAATTTTTGAAATCCAACTTATTAATAAAAATGTTGCTAAACACTTTTGTCTCCAGGCCTATATACACTTACAAAGTTCATAAAATAAGTACATATATCTTTACCTCCACCATTATAGAAATGACACACACACTAAATTCAGTTTTTTGTTAGATATAAATAGGAGTCTAGTTCCCCCATGCACTATGATAATATAGTATACTAAGCAGTGGGCAACTCCAGGTTCACCAGGAACTCTAATATATTTTTTTAAAGACTAGATTAGTTATACTGACAAAAACCTTAAGAACTGAGTACTAAAGATTATAAGTTCTAAATTTTCTAATTTGGAAAACTGAAACTTATAATCGAATTGCTAGAGTTGTACACAAAATACTAGCCTCTGGCAAAATTATGAGGTAGGATAAAGTCATCAAGAATAGAGATGATATGGTTGTTTTCTCCCCTTGGATTTAGCAAGGTGCCTTATTTCCAGTAGATCTTTAGCAAATATTTCTTAATTGATGAACTTGTTAATAAATTATTGGCAGATTATGCCCTCAAGTCTCTTGGTATCTGTATTAGTCAGTTTTCACGCTGCTGATACAGACATACCCAACACTGGGTAATTTACAAAAGAAAGAGGTTTAATGGACTTACCATTCCACATTGCTGGGGAGGCCTCACAATCAAGGCAGAAGGCAAGGAGGAACAAGTCATGTCTTACATGTATAGCAGCAAGCAAAGAGAGAAGGAGCTTGTGCAAGGAAACTCCTCTTTTTAAAACTATCAGATCTCATGAGACTTATTCACTATAATGAGAACAGCATGGGAAAGAATTGCCCCCATGATTCAGTTACCTCCTACTGGGTCCCTCCCACAATATGTTGGAATTCAAGATGAGATCTGGGTGGGGACACAGCAAAACCATGTCAGTATCCAATTTCTCCTTCCCCAAAGAACCTTCCCTTGGCACCCTAAAAATGCCCCCAGTGTTCCAAACTGAGAGTATTTTAAAATTTCCAACTATACAATCAAACTTTGACTATTTCTGATAAGGAAAAAGTTGGACATTCTAAGAAAATTTAGGGATCATTTGTTGTCAATGCCTTAATCTATAATAGACTATCTAATGGTGTAGATTTCCTAATAAAGCTGACAAATAAAAGTTTGAGGCAAGCTTCTGGCTGCCTTGCAAACCATAATAATTGTCATTTCTTGATCTCTCAGTAAGGTCAGTCTTAGATGAACATGTTGATTGTTTCATTCTTTACCAAACATCTGGACTTCCTGATGCTGGGATTCTAAAACTTTATTTCTTTTTAGCTGCCTTGCCATGAGTGATTCCCTTTCTTGTTCATCCAACTTAAGAAACTCCTCTGGAAATAAATAGCATTTCTGAGTTTTGTTAATAACCTTCTCATTCAGTCACATAAGTTCAAAAACTTGAAGTTACTTGTTCTTTCTCTAAACCCTGTCATCCATTATTTTGGCGGTCTTCCTCAGCGTTGTCTTCTTTTTTTCTCTACCATAATCCCAGTTTAAACCCTTTAGTTTAGTTCTTGTTGCAGTTCATCTGGCCATGTATTCTTGCCCCATTAACTCACTAAAGCACAGCATCTTTCCGTTTATTCACTGGTCAGAAACCCCAATGGCAATCCCATATCCTCACTGCCTATACAATAAACTCTAAACTTCTTAGCTTAGTTTTCTATGTCTGCCACATTCTAGCCACAGTTTAGCGTTCCAGACTTATCTTCTACTATTACTTCACACTGGATTATTCTTGGTTCACCAAACTCATCCCACATCTACCATCAAGTCTTGATTTTTTTTTTCTTTTCTTCTTTTTTTGTTTGAGATAGGGTCTCACTCTGTTGCCCAGACTGGAGTGCACTGGTGTGATCTTGGCTCACTGCAATCTCCACCTCCCAGGCTCAAGTGATCCTCTCACCTCAGCCTCCAGAGTAGCTGGGATTACAGGAATGCCAACACACCCAGCTAATTTTTGTATTTTTTGTAGAGATGGAGTTTTGCCATGTTGCCCAGGCTGGTCTCAAACTCCTGGGCTCAAGTGATCTTTCTACCTCAGCCTCCCAAAGTGCTAGGATTATAGGAGTGAACCACTGTGCCAGTCTTTACTATGCTTTTTACTCTGCCTGAAATGATGTTCTGATGCTTTTATTAAAACTCTGCCCGGCTGGGCATGGTGGCTCACGCCTGTAATCCTGTAATCCCAGCACTTTGGGAGGCCAACATGGGCAGATCACGAAGTCAGGAGATCACGACCATCCTTGCTAACACGGTGAAACCCCGTCTCTACTAAAAATACAAAAATTAGCTGGGCGTGGTGGTGGGCGCCTGTAGTCCCAGCTACTCGGGGGGCTGAGACAGGAGAATGGCATGAACCCGGGAGGCGGAGGTGGCAGTGAGCCAAGATGGTGCCACTGTACTCCTGCCAGGGAGACAGAGTGAGACTCTGTCTCAAAAACAAACAAACAAACAAATAAACAAATAAATAAATAAATAAAACCCTGCCCATCTTTCAAAGTCAAAATCAAAAGAAATCTCAAACATGATGCCTTGATCATCCCAGCTAGAAGTATTCTCAATCGTTTCTGAAAGCCCATCATACTTTGTACCACTCCTAAGGTATTCACTGAATTCTAACATAAATTTCAGTTATTTGCCTACATGATTTATCCCTTCTCGTGTATTTTAAGCTTCCTGAGAGCATTGGTTACCATTTTACGCATAGTGGTTAACACATTTGCCTTACTTAAAAGTGGTTCTTCATGAGTTGGAATCATGAAATGAGTTGGCTAAGTATTATACATTGGTTTGGGGGTGCTGGGTAGGAGCAGAGTATAGTGTGGTTAAGAGAAAAACCTTTAGAGGTCAAATGATCCCAGATTTAAATTCAATTTTACTAATTCTTAACTGAATGATCTTGGACAAATTAATTATTAATCTCTTGGTACCTCAAATTCCTCATTGGTAAAATGGGAATAACAATGCCTATTTCATAGATTTGTTGTCAGAATTAAATGAGATATAAATTAGGTACAAAATACTTTTTTTTTTTTTTAAGACAAGGTTTTGCTCTGTC